AAGAATTCTAGGTTGACCAGTATTTTTCACCCTCGGAGCACTTTTTGGTTCTTGCTCCTCTCTTATCTCTAGCAAGGTTTCAGATAAAAAATCTGCTTATCTGTCATCCTGACCTTTGCCCCTTGGTACATAATTTGTCTTTTGTCTCTGTTGCTTTTAAGATTTTCTCTTTATCACTGATTTTAGTCAATTTGATTATGAAGTGCTTCTGTGTAGTTTTTGTACTTGGCATTCACTGCTTCTACAATTTTCACCAAAGAAATTTTTTAGCCATTATTACTCTATATACTGTTTTAGTTACACCCTCTCCCTTAATGACTCTAATTACATGTATATTAGAGGCTACTGATAATAAACCACACCCTCACTAATGCTCACCCTTTTTTTCAGACTTTTTCTCTGTATACTTCATTTTAGATACTTTCTATTGCTATGTCAAGTTCATTAATCGATTCTTTGTCAATTCTAAAATTTATCCCATTAAGTGTATTTTTTACCCTAAATATTGTAGTTTCCATCTTTAGAAATCTGACTTAGAGACATATATACAGTTTTTTTTAACTTGTTCAATCTCTCCTCTACTTCAGGTATCTACAAATTACAGCCTGTAGGCCAAATCCAACCTACCACCTATTTTAGAAATTAAACTGTACTCTAGTACGCAGACACACCAATTGTTTATACATTGTCTGTGGCTGCTTTTTGTGCTACAGCAGAGTTGAGTAGTGTAACAGAGGCCATATGGGCAAAAAAACCTAAAATATTTACCATCTGATCCTTTAAAGAAAAATTTTCCCAACTCTTGATCTTAGCATCTTGAACATACAGAAGATAAGTATAATAATTGTTTTAATGTTTTTATCAAGTTGGGTGTAGTGGCTCATGCCTGTAATTTGAGCACTTTGGGAGGCTGAGGCAGGAGGATTGTTTGAGGCCACGCGTTCAAGACCAGCCTGGGCAACACAGGAGACCCTGTCTTTCTTTTTTTTCTTTTTAAGGGAGGGTGGGGGAAATGTCTTCATCTACCAATTCTATCATGTCATTTCTGGGTTAGTTTTGATTGACTGACTTTTCTCCTCATTACGGACCATATTTTCTTGCTTCATTGTATGACTGGTATAATCTGATTTTGCCTTTCTGAATGCTGGGTATTTTTCTATTAATATTACTCTACTCTTAAGCTTTGTGCTGGTACACAGTTAAGTTACTTGGAACAAGTCTGATCCTTTCGATCCTACTTTAAGTTTGTCAGGTGAAACCAGAGCATCATTTAGTATGGACCCAATTTTACAGCATTACTGAAGCAAAACCCTTCTGAGTATAATATCCTGTAAATTATGAGATTTACACTCTGGCTATTTTTAACAGGCACAATTCGTAGCCCTAAGTAAGCTCCAGGAATTGTCTCTTCTAATTCTGTTGGGTGTCGCCCTTTCCCCTCACCACCACCACAAGTAGTTTCCTCAACCATATGCAGCAGTTCTATTCCCTACTAACCGTAACCTGTTGGCCTCCCTGAATCCACAGCTCTACGTGGGTTCCCCCCACCCTGTACCATGCGCTGGCAACTCTCTCCAGGCACTAAGCTGGGACAACCATAAGGCTCGCCTCATTTGTCTCCTGTTTCTGGGGAATCACTATTCTTCCTTGGCTGATGTTCAATATCTTGAAAAATCATTGTTTTATATAGATAGATAGAAAGATAGACACAGATAGATAAGAGTCCAGGATTTTCATTGTTGCAGGCCAGAGAGTAATTCTAGTCCCTGTTACTCCATCTTGGCCAGAAGCAAAAGTCCTAAAAGCTACTAAAGTTTTCCAAATGGGGAAAACTGCTTAAAAAGCAAATAATGGAAAATCATGATAAAGCAGATAGAACCAAAACTATATATTATTTGTTTATTTAGAGAAAGAGAAGGAAAATTTCCTAAAAAGTTTATCATTGTCTTGACTGTTATTTTTATAGATTGTTATTCTACATTAAAGTGACTAACTTATTCATCAAAATATATTGTTACATTAGAAGTCACTTCTACTAATTACCGCTGCTACTTAAATAAAAATATTTATCTATTAAATTTTAAATTTCAAAATGCTGACACATGTGAATACAGCAATTCCACTTATCAGAATATATTTAACAAATATGTAAAAATAATTGAAAATATATTTACATGGCCCTGTAAGACAAGTTACATTTTCCTAGACTATTTGATCTACAATATGAAATACTTTAAATTTTTTTTTCTAATTTTAAAATAACCGTAGGATTTCAGAAAAGTTGTAAGGGTAGTACAAAGAATTCGTAGTCACCTTTCACCCAGACTCTCCAAATGTCTGGCATTTTACCATATTCACATATTATCATATTGTTTAAACCATGTAAGAGCACATTGTAGACATAATACCACTTTCACCAAAATACTTCAGTATTTATTTCCTAAACAAGGGCGTTGTTTTATATAATCATGATGCAATTATCACTGATGATAGTAACATCTAATCTACAGATTTTATTCAAACTTTGTCAACTGTCCCACTAACATCCTTTATAGGAAGCTGGGGGGTAGGTATCTTAGGAAACTTTTGCCCTCAGGCCAAATCACAATGGCCACCAGTTTTTGAAAATAAAGTTGTGCTGGAACACAGATAAGCCATTCATTTACAGATTATCTATGGCTCATTTGAAAACACAAGAGCAGAGTTGAGAAGTCTCAACAGACTCAATGTGGCCCTCAAAGCCTAATATGTTTATTATCTGATCCATTACAGAAAACGTTTTCTAACTTCATCTTTATAGCAAAAGGAAACATTTTTTCCTGGTTTAGGATTTGCTTGAAAATAGTTGTTACATCTCCTTTAATCTGGAGCAGTTCCTCAGTTTTTGTTTTTCATGATCTTGACATTTCTGAAGAGTAAATATCACTTACTTTATAGAATGCCTCTCAATTTGTGTCTGTCTGATATTTCCTTATTTCTAGATTTAGCTCATACATTTTTGGCAACAATACTACAACCACAAAAGTGACAATGTATCCTTCTTGGGATGTACATGATATCTGTCCATTATTGGTGATGTCAATTCAGATCATGTAATTAAGATGGTATTTGCCGGCCGGGCACGGTGGCTCACGCCTGTAATCCTAGCACTCTGGGAGGCCGAGGC